CCTAGGTCCTCCTCCCTCAAGCATGTCCAATAATGTCTTCAGACCGTTCATTGTTATGACTCCCATCTTAAGCTGTGTCATAAGTCTTCTGCTATCCCCACGAAGGTACACTCGTCCTCCCTCTTCTCTCTTGATTCCCTTCTCTTCAAGTCTCGTCATTGACCAAGTAGTTGGACCGTTGTGCCTTGACAGACAGTTCTTCTGGATTATATCCACAACATCGGGCACAGTCAACTTTATGTTTTCAATCTTGCCATTCTTTCCCTTGTACCTTCCTCCCCTTCTACCTCTTCTTACTCTTCTTCCATTGGACATACTGAGTACTGCTGCTGCACTCATATCGTTGCGCAAATCAGTTGACGTGGGTCGGGATTTTAACGTCCATGACGATCCTGATGACCCCATCAGGGCCTTGGACGAGCTGGGGAAGAAACCAATTGATGGGGCTGCCAGGTTTTAGGCGGGCGTTACTTCCAGGTTTTAGGCGGGCGTTACTACCGACTTCAACCGACCGCTTTCTGGTCTAAAATGAAGTGTACATGGGTTATGGACCCTTCTTTACATTGTGGATACATTGTATATGTAGTTATAAATAGGAAAAAATGTAACTCTGACGCTTTTACCAATTTTTTTTGCGGCGCGCCGTGCGCTCCACGAAACAGGGCCTGCCATCTTGTTTGTTTACGTCGTATTTATTGCATCGATGGTAAATTTTAGTGAAACATTTGCGACTCCACTTATGATCTATTAGAAGTTATATGCTAACAAAAACTTGCAACTACTTAAGAGTTGACTGTATGATATCTATTCATAATCGCAAAGACAATGTATCCAGAGTGTGAAAAGGGTTCATCCCCCATGTACACTGCATGTTAGGCTCTTTGTAACCGTAGAAAAAAACGCCATGGAACACATCTTCCCATCGAAAAAATGACCTACGTGGCAGGAATAGTTGGTTAAATCTATATAAACCCCCTTGGTTTATTTTTTCTTAAATTAGACTTCGTCACCTTCTATTAAATTATGAACGAAATCCCAGCTACCGTATGGCGCATTTTAATCCTACCCAGTACAGCGATACAAGAAGACACAGTGACACTGACATTGTGAACAGACCGTGGAGCCTGGTTCAGTGGCATCATTTGATTGTCCATGCATAATAAGGTCTATATGCTGGGTAAGGCCAGGGTGCTGATTAATGGATGTACATTACCTGTTCTTATACATTCTCATTCTTATGTCCACAAGAACGGTGACCTGACCGAAGAATTCGGCGGCGAATCCTGGCTTCCCCAAACACGACAAGTTGGTGAGTTACAACTTGCTGTATTTTACCAATGTCCACCAAAACTGACATCCTTATGACCACGCACTACTTTGCAGGCGAGGCCCTTTTGAAAATTTCAGAAAGCTGAACCACTTGATTTCCCCTCAGGCTGCTCCAGTGGATACCAGATGCATAACGGTATCTGCTACAAGGCCTTCACCACGCCAAAGAATTTTCATGATGCATCTTCGGCGTGTGCGACTGATGGAGGGACCCTCGCTATGCCGAAGGATGCCAGTACCAATACCTTCCTCCTCTCCCTGAAAAACGCTGTGGACGAGTCTGGCTTCTTCTGGTTCGGCTTGGTGGATCATCACCAGGAGGGAGGCTGGGAGTGGGTAGATGGCACCCCCATTGGAAGCTTCAATGCATGGGAGCCAGGAGAACCGAACAACGCTGGCGACGAGGACTGTGCCGAGTACTTCCCTACGGCATGGAATGATGCGCAGTGTTCTGAGGCTGACAGAAAATTCATCTGTCAGAAAATCCCCACAGGTGTGTTTTTTAATGTTAATGGTCCTTTTCAGCCTCGTACATGGAAGGCACGGTGGAACAGGAACATTAAGACACATTAACTACAAAGACACCATGCCAAGAAGGCCATACTACATGTAATCATGATACATGTAGATTACATGACATTACATTCCATGACATTTCAATTACGTAATATGAATACATTATATTATAGAGGCCTTTGTATTCAAAGATCTCGTCAAAACTTATTATTCATATATTACATTATTTCTGACTGATTCATCAAAATGGCCCTAGCCTACAGGTGGTAGTGCAAATGCAAACAGTTCAAATGATACTCATATTCTGAAATATAATGTAGGTTGCCCAGGTGGGTACGTTTACCATCAACCCAGTCGCCTGTGCTACAAGGCCTTCAACGAGAAGACAACATACAGCGGTGCTGTCGCGAAGTGTTCTGCAGACGGGGGAACCCTTGCCATACCGCGCAGCCCCATCATCAACAAGTTCCTCATCTACCTGAAGAATGCCGTCGACACCACTGCTTGGTTCCGTTTTGGACTGACTGATCACCACCACCAGGAGGGAGACTGGATATGGGATGATTACGTTGCTCTGGGTAACTTCAGTTCATGGGGTCCAGAAGACAACTGTGCCGAGTACTTTCCCGGAAGCCACTCCACAAAGGACACATGGAACGATGGACCATGTGCCTCTGCCGACAGGAAGTTCATCTGTCAAGTCTATCCATTAGGTCAGTTTCAACTTTGAAAAGTTGTTGCATGTACTTTTCTAGCTTCACTAACTTACTTTACAAACTATCTTTAGAGACTGTTTTTTAATACTAATGGTTGTAATTATTGCAGGCTGTCCCCCGGGCTACCAACAGCATGGCCATAACTGTTACAAGGCGAATAACGACAAGAAGTCTTACGACAACGCTGCCGCAACATGCCGGGCTGACGGCGGTAGTCTGGCCATGCCACGCGACAAGGCGACCCACGAGTTCCTGGTCACCCTGAAGAACCAGGCGGACAGGTCTGCGTGGTTCTGGCTCGGCTTCAATGATCAGAGTCAGGAAGGAGAATGGCATTACGTTGATGGAACACGCCTCGGAAGTTTCCAGCCCTGGTACCCGAATGAACCCAACAATCATGGAGGGAATGAAGACTGTGGCGTGATGATCCAAGACGAAGAAAACAATGAATGGAATGACCACGGCTGTTCTACGGAACTGAAGTTCATTTGCCAGATATCGCTCCAAGGTAGGCCATTCTTAGATGAATTCTAAATATTAGGTGTCAGACAAAGTAGAACCAAGGACATATCACCATATAATGTCCTGGGAAGAACTTTGTAATTCGTGTAATAAGTTAGCTTATTAGATCTTATTTTTTTCCTCACCTGTTTTAATCAACTGGCAATTAGCATTTTGGCAGAAATTTAAAATAAAAATTGTTATTACATGACAGTATTATATTTTCTAGTGATCGAGTCTTGTGGGGGTAATCTTACCGGTTCTTCTGGTGTATTCATCTCTCCTGGCTACCCCCAAAATTATACCGACAACCAGAAATGCAGGTCAGATGACATTCAATACATGCATCATATAACTTTATTCCTTGTTACATGCTTCTTGCTGCATTAGCACTGGCCAGCCTTCATCCAATCAGTAACTCTCCTGTTGTTGGAGGCAACCTACCAGCCAGTCCCGTCTTCACCTTCAGGCAGCAATGTCATTGGTCTGAAATTTTCCCTCCAACATCAGGAGCTTTATCTGATTGGCTGATGGCCAACGTACCCAAACTTTTGACTGTACAACTCCAGTCTTCACGCTGAGTGAGTAGTCACGCTCAGGAACCTAGCCTTGAATGATCTTTCAGTCTCTGCAATGTACGTTTCCTTAGACAGCAGGCCACGTATAAGAGAATACATGTACATGTACTAGTATAACCATCATGTGCGTGGATGATGATTGATTTAAATGTTGATTTCAACCATCAGGTGGATCATCCACGCCCCACCAGGACATGTCGTGCGTCTGACCTTCCTGGACTTTGACCTTGAGAACAGTGAATTCGACCTGGAATTCGACCACGTGACCGTTGTTGATGGAAGCATCGACAAGCAGCTGGGCAAGTTCTCCGGCACCAACCTTCCTCCTGCCGTCACCAGCTCAGGCAGAACCATGGAGGTCATCTTCACCACAGACCAGTCCGTGACAGAGCGCGGTTTCAAGGCTCAATACAGGGGTAAGCAATAGTCCATGTCTGTGCCTCAGCAACCACACGGTTATCAATATATATGTGGCGTTGGGTGGTGTAGTGGTTAGAGCAATAGACTGTGAACCGGGAGACCCGGGTTCGATTCCGAGTCGTACCCGGGACATGTCTGAACATGCGCCCCGACGTTGTGCCCTTGCAAATTGGGAAAGGCACTTATAACACGAATTTCCTCACTCCACCCAGGTGTGAATGGGTACCTAACTTCGGTTGGGGAAAGTCGAATTGAGGTCACCTTGTGGCGCCAAATAGCAGCCGCACAGACCCTTGCGACAGTTCCACAAAATAATTGTGGAACAAATATGTGTATCATTTGTATTATTTTAATGTTGTAATTGTTGTGATTTGTATTGATTATTATGTGATACCCTGCATCAATTCAGCCGTATAAAGGCTGCGACTGCACGGGTTCTGTTTGGACAATAAAAACCATTTATCATAATAGGTTTGAAAAACGAATGGATCACAAATCTGCAATGGCACAGGTTTTGTAATGGAGTAATGGAGAAAAGCCATCAGACATGGCAGACTTCAACCCTTTACCCATACTGTTTTCTAATAGTACTGTAGGTCAGAAACATACATTGCAAATAAAGACCTTTTATGACGCTGTATTGTTTTGCATGCACGCTGCTTTCAACTAATATTCTATTGATTGATGTTCTAGCTGTGGCTTTGGAGATGTTGGAGAATTAAGTCTGTACTGAAGGAGAGAACTTGGAGGTAAGACTTATCCTTCTACATGTATAATCAAATTATCTCTGTCGTGTGCATAATATTTATTGGTTTATTTGTATCAACATATCAACAACATATCTCGCAGCCTTGATATACAGGGCTGAATTCTAATGTTGTTTACAATATAATCATTGATAGTAGGGAAATACAAATTATCATATCGAGATCTACATATTAATATATCACTTAGTTCGAAAAAATTTCAGTATTTACAATCTTACATTCGTACACATGTCAATCTTACGTCGTAAAAACCTTATATTGCTTAAATAATGATAAATCCAGAAGAAAGGAGAAAATTAGTTAAAAGAACAAGTGCAGTCAAGTAATTACTAATAGGTGTTACATTATATATGTACACACAGGCATGTACACACAGACACACAGACAAAGTTAACAACAGTCATATACTAGTACTGTGACACAAAGTCACACCACACTCAACATTGAGTCGCACACAGCCACATCCACACACAAATACATCATGTCATTCATGATCGTACATCTATGAAGATCTGTCACAATGTTGAGAAGGTGTTAACAACAAATTCAGACCCTCTGTTTTCTTGTCCCTTGCAGTACGGCCTGGAAGAGTGACACCTACATGACCTTCTGCTGTTCCAGCTCAACAGACTGTGATGATGTCATATCAAAGCAGATATTGGGAGGAACAGTCCTAACTTTTCCTGACTGGCCCGGGACAGCCAGGAAACGTTACAATCCTCCTCCCAACATCTGCTTGAGTTTTAAGATTTAAGTCTTTTCATAGATGCTGGTCATTTTGAGCGACAAGCAAATATCTATCCTAGCACAATCTATAACATCTACTCTCATAATACTGCCACTAACCATATAACTGTGGCACTAAATTAGAAAAAAATTATGAATTTGAAGAGATCTCTTGCAGCATTACTAATTTCTGCACTTCAAATATCTACGTAGGTGTTAAAGACATTTATGAGAAGGCCTCAGTAACCATGCATTGTAAGCTGATGAGGACAAAGTCCCTTGTCCCTTTCCTCGTCGTCTGTAAGGACTAATCTCCAAGCAGATCCGGTGGGCAAGGGGACGTTGGTATCATTTAAGAAATTGCCATACACATGGTGGTACTATGAGAGTAAGTTATATAATGTTTGCAGTGTTTCTGCCCATATATATTATATATATACATATATATAAACATATACCTTGCACTTCCTATGAAAGCCTATGAAAGCCTATGAAATATCTACTTGATTTTAGTGGTTATATAGACAACTAGAGTTCGACGATCTCATACCTTCGCCAAACGATCTTAACTTTTATGACTGATCATGATCTAGTAGCGAACTGGCGAAGGTAATAAAGATTATATTTTGCCTGAGTAATAACCTTAAATGTTGAAATTAGCCTAGGTATGGGGGAGTCTAGCAATGTGGTGAAACCTTTAGTGAAGTCATCAATATGGTGATTAACGTGCAGCAGGTTTAATTACATGTAGCATAAATTTTTGTCATTGAATATGCAAATTAAGTCCCTATTTACATAACCTGGATCCTTTGCATAATCTATATGTAGGCATTGTGCTTGTCACTTAAGTTACATGAGGTATGACGGATGCATATGATGTCAAACACATGTTGATGGACACATTGATCTGGTGATGTTTATTAATGACCTTGCAAAATGTACAAAACAGTTCTCATCACTATAATGTATATTCATTTCTAAAATGGCAACCAAATATATAAATAATATCTATATGTTCAGATAAAATTTACACATACAAACATGTCTATGTACACCACGGATCAATATTTGGTAACACTGCTGCAAAATTCTACTTCAGTGTAATGGAATTGTACAATTCACATGAGACATCACAATGTGTAGTGAGGTAGATTTTACAGCATCAACGAAACACAGACCATGTCATGATCGGAATAATATGTGTCATGAACAGTTACCAATAGACTGTCTTCATCAAGGCCGCGGACGTAAACGTGGTCAAGGAGACTGCCATAGTCAGTTGTGGGAGATTGCACGAACTGCCTGAAGCCAAACTGTTCCATCACATTCAGAATTTTGGGAGGGGGGCATTTCAAGAGGTCAAAATTAAAATCCCCAAGGACAACTGTTATCATTTTACTTGGAAGTAAGATCAGAAGTCTTTGTAATCTGTTGATGAAGTCTTCTTCCGGCAAGGTCTGTGGTCTGTAAATGTTTACAATGTTAACTGTGGTGGACTCCTTGGTGATAGTAGTCGCCGTATACTCCAGGCCCCCTACCGGAATATGTAGCTGTGTGGGGATAATGTCCTGTCTAGCAACAGTCATGACTCCGCCTCCTCTTCCCACTCTGTCTGCTCTGAAGGATAGCGAATGTGGTAGGAATAGATCAGCCTGTTGATTCTTGTGCAGGAATGTTTCGACGAAGCAGAAAACATCACAGGGGAGTGCTGTTTTGTCTGCTTTCAAGTCTTGTAAATGCTCCGTATAGGAACAGATGTTGAGGAATTTGATTGTGAGATCATGGTTGCCTACAGTGGAGGAACATGACAAAGGAACCTTCGGCACAGGTACTTGTTGTAGACGGAGCATTTCATCCAAAACAGCTGTGTTCACGCGAATTGATGTTGGCTTAAAACCCAGCAGATACAAGTCATTTAAGCTTCGCACACGGCTTAGAGCAACGTAAGCTTGACCAGGCATGAAGCAACCTTTGCTTTCCATTGAGACAACAATTCTGCTCAATGTCTTGCCTTGAACTTTGTGAATGGTGCAGCTCCATGCTAATGACAGTGGAAATTGAGCACGCTGTGCTTGGACCGACCGTCTTCCCTTACCAGCGAAGAACTGAACGGTTTGTCTTTTGATGGGTACTGCTCCGGGGTAAGCCTGCTTATATTGGCTGTCGGTAATGGCTTGTTTGCCAACACGATCACTATCAAACTTAACCAGGATGGTATGGACATCAGGACCTGTGCTGTCAATGCCAACGACCGTTGCAAATGTTCCATTTACAAGTCCATCTGCAACGTCAATATTGACAGTCACCATCACCCTTGCTCCCACGGCTACAGACACGACGTCTCGCAAGCCACCCGTGTCACTTGGCTTGGTGGACATGGCAACATTTGTGAAACCCGTTAGAAGATCTTTCTTCGAGTCGATGGCTTTGATATCAAACACCTTTGTCGACAGTGTTGTCAGATGTTTGGCATTGTGCTCATCTACCTCTCTGTTGGTTTTGAAGACGTGCAGCGCTTCTGATGGATAGCTTGGGTCGGTTCTGGATATGACCCTGGACTTGAGAAGGTGAATGTCATCTTCTGTGCATGAGGCTGTTCTTACTCTCATCAGAAGATTTGCAAAGTTTTGGTCTTCTTTCTGTCGCATGCTCTCCGTGAGTTCCATCATGTGGAAGTTTTCCTCCCACAGAGATCCATGCAACTTGGCGTAGCTGTCTGAAGGCAGGCCGAAGACATGATTCTGACCGACAGGCTGAAGTTGGAACAGGTCTCCGACAGCCAGGATGCTGACCCCTCCAAACCGGCTGTCAGGGTCGGGGCTGCCACAGATGTCCTGCAGACGGCGGTGGATGTGATACAGGAGGTCTGCACCGACCATCGACACCTCGTCCACAATAAGGAGCTTCAGCTTTCCCAAGCGTGAGCGAAGTGTGTTCAGTCGGTCACTGCTTAATGGCTGATAGTCTTTGCCCCTGTTCAGACCACAACTGAGGCTGAGAGCTGAGTGCAAGGTCATACCATTAATGCCAAACGCAGCTGTTCCTGTAAAGGCAGTCAACATAACTGGGAGGTCATTTGGGTCGAAATAATGTCCAGACAAAGGTCTAAGAAGTCTCAGTGTTTCATGATGAACCAACTTGATTATGTGGCTCTTGCCAACTCCACCGGGGCCACTCAGAAATACCATGTACTGTGGCACTTGTTGGTTTTGTTTCAGAGCAATGATGGTATCTTTGCACCACTTGCGATGAAACCTGAGAACTTCCATTTGCTGGCTGTTTAAAGACCGCATCATAGCTCTGTATTCCTCTGAACTCATCAGCACTTTATTCATCTCTGCTGAAAAGCGTGCGTGAAGTTCACAACTAGGACTGGATGTTGAATGTGGGGCCAGGTCGATGTTTCCACATTGGTCTTCCTGGAATACTTCTGTCTCCACAGTTATTCCTTCATCTTGTTGTTCAGCCTGTTGGAACTCCACATTCGGAGCAACACTATCCCACATGTCTTCTGGGGGACCATTTTGACGCAGATCATCATAGGCTGCATTGACTGCATCAGCGTTTATGCTGAACATCGCTTCATTGGCACGGATGGTGTCTATGACGTGTTCATAGTGTTCTTTGAACGATGGGAAGGTTGCTTTGATGTCGACCTCCTCGTTTCGCCAAGGCAAGTATAGCATGAGTAAATTCCTGTACTTGTCCTCGCCATCTTTTCTTTCTTTGTGAAACCTGCAAGGAGTATGTGATATGCACTATTATTACAATGTCAACAACGGAAATCAAAAGCTCACCAACAAGCATCAAGTGTGTGCAGTGTCATGTAAAATGTGAATGATTGATGTACCTGATGATGCAGTGCTTTTTCCTCTTTCTCATGGTGCCCAAGTTGTTCTGCAGTGTGATGACGGCTGGATACATGTCGTCTTGGTTGCTTCCTTCATTGTCGGCAGCACCATTTTCATCCCTGCCATCCAGCACATCTGGAATGTGGTCGTCGGGCAGATAACTTCCACCGGTTGTGTACGTGGCTGAAAATTCAGCTAGGGACATTTTTTCGAGGACGTTCGGTCGGCACACGTACCTATCGAGGGGTGACGTACAGAAGATATTATCGTCCTCGTCGTCCATGGCGTCCAGGACACTCCGCGGCTTGAGCATGGACACCCGTTTGTCTTTTGGAGCAGTGTTTACAAAGACCACTTTCCTACTGGCTCTTTTTAGTGGCAGAGAAAGCAGCCTGTACACAGCCTCCTGTGCACTCACCTCTCTGTTATTGAGAAAGGCTGATCCGACCTTCCTCAGTGTAGATTTCAGGTCATCGCCTCTGCTCTCCTCCAGCACCTTCTTTAGCACCTCGCTCATTGCTCTTTCCCCTTTCAACATGTAACTAGTAATGTACATGATGCATGAATATGCATCCAGAATAAATTGTAGGTCCATGTTAGCACGCCAGGTTTGAAGGATGCTTGGGTTGTATTGATTTATGAATCTTTCGGATGGATGACGCTGAAGGACGATTTGTTCACCTGATTTTGTCAGCTTCAGTGCCCGTTGGTACACATCTGGACCCACCTTGGCCCTTTGCAGCAACTGTTCCAGGGAAATATCTTCAGGAGTGTTTTTGTCTTCCATTACGGTACGCACTTTCCGGAAAACCTCCTCTTTTACTTTGAGGTCCCTTTTTACAGCTAACGGATCTGCCTCGTCTGATGGTCTGGCGATCATTGTCTCACAGCTTGGCGGATGTGGGAACCTGAATCTGCAGGACCCATTTCTCCGGCAAGTCTGTGAATGTACATGCTTTTGCAAAGAGAGTACCAGGTGCCTCAGGTCTTCTTCCTCTTCGCCCGGAATGGCACAGGTTTGGTGTTTGTTAATGAAGTTGATCACGTCGCTGTCACTGTTCACACCGAGTTTTGGGGCGTCCTTCATCCAGAGTATCGTATGTGCATGGGGGGACCCCCGGGCTTGGAACTCAATACGAATCATGTAGTCTTGGAGTTGACCAATTGGGTTAGCCTTTCCTCCGATGAATTCGCTGAAAAACAGGGTCAGTCGGTGATGAAACTGCCGGGCTGCGGTAACCGGATTGCATCGAAGCCAG